TTCTTCCTGCTTTCCCTTTCGCCTCCCTGCATTGTGCCTACATATGCAAATTAACCGCCATCTTTATTGGCAGTTAACCGCCATCTTAGTTGGCAGTTAATTTGCATATCACCCTGATTAGCCAATGAAAAGGGTAGCGGTCATACGCCAATTACCATATTTCTCTTTTATTAGTGTAGATGGGTCTTGAACTATATCAGATTTTACCAAATGCAGTTTCTGAATTTAAGGTTTAGAAACATGATTTTTCTGTGCATGTGTGTGAGTGTGTGTGTGTGTGTGTGTGTGTGTGTATTGTATGGCCAGACTTAGTGGTCATTATTGTTGTTACTATTTTATACAGTTAATATTGTTTAGATTCACTCTTATTTTTACCAGCTACTTTGCTCACCACTCTTCCATGTATAATGCCTTTTTTTATATCAATTTCTTTTTTTTTTAAAGACCTCCTTTACTGTTTTTTGTTTTTCCAGTAAGGGTTTGTTAGTACTAAATTCTCTCCCCCTTTATCTGAAAAAACCTTGAATGTTCACATTTGAGCAATATTTTGGTTGGGTTTTTAATTCTAGGTTGACATATGATGTCACTCATATGTGGGATATAAAACAGAAAGCAACAGACAAACAAAACAAAGTAACTATTGACACAGACAATAGTATGGCATTTACCAGAGGGGGAAGGGGGTGAAAAATATTATGATGGAAGGAAATTGATATATTATAGAATTGTACATGTGAAGCTTATATAATGTTACTACCAATGTCACCCCAATAAATTTAATAAAAAGAAAAAATTCTAGGTTGACAGTTATTTTTTTCTCAACAATTTGGAAATGTTATTTTGGGTCTTCTAGTGTACTGTTGAGACATTCATGATCAATGTACACAATATAATAGTCCCTGTCACCCAAATTAACTTAATAAATAAATATTAAATACATATATATAGTAGTCCTTTCTTTGTAGGTACTCTGTCCTTTTTCACTCTGCATGATTTTAAGATCTACTCTTTGTTTTGGTTTTCTAAAGGGTACCTGTAATATGTCTTTATTTTATTTGAATTTATTCTGGTTAGGATTCAGTATGGTTCCTGGATTGGAGAATTCATCTATTTCATTAATTCTGGACAATTTCCTATCATTATTATTTTAAAGTTATTTTACTTCATTTTCTATAGTCTTTCTTTCTGGAATGCTAATTAGAGGCATGTTGAACTGCATTTTTATTCTCTTTGCTTTTTATAATCATTTACAAATAATATATCTCTGAATAATGTCTTCAGATCTATCTTTCAGGTTGTTAATTTTTTCTTTAGCTGTATCTAATTTGCTGTTAATCTCAGCCATTGAGTTTTTAATTTTAGTGACTAAAATATTTATTTCTAAATGTTTTATTTTGTCCTTTTTCCAGTCTACTTTGCATTTTTAGATAGTGTCTAATTCTTTCTTATGTTTCCAATTCTTTAAGTCAATAAGTATTTTAAACATAATTAATAGAATAATATTTAATCTGATATTTTAATTATCTGTAGTTCTTGGGGATCTAATTTTGATCCTGGTAGATTATTTCTTCTTATATGTTGTAGCTATGGATTTTGAGACCTTCGTTAGCAAAGCATTACCTTTGGTAATTCTCCCCAGTCTGGGTTAAAATTGTCTTTTCAGAGATTTTCAGCTTGAGACCACTGTTTATTTTGTTAATTGGCTAGGAGTTCCTGAGTGATATAAAATTTAAATCTCAAATCCACTTACTGGTAGACCTTTTGTTACAAATTCTTAGGCATGACCTTTGTTTTTTATACCTAGAGCTCAGGCCAAGATAACCTTCCCTGTCATATTTTGTTGGGATTCTATCTTTTCTGTGAAGATTGAGGTATAGCTCCCAGTTCCAACCTCCCTGTATCTCTCAGGTCTAAGGTCTCATCTCGGAGTAACATTAAACCCAGTGACCTTATTATTAAGATTAGAGGCCCAGTGCACAAAAATTTGTGCACTCGGGCAGGAGAGGGGGTCCCTCAGCCCGGCCTGTGGCCTCTCACAGTCTGGGACCCCTCGGGAGATAACGACCTGCTGGCGTAGGCCTGCTCCCAGGTGGCAGAGGGCAGGCCCAATCCCTAGGTGCAGCCCCTGGCTCAGAGCAGGGCCGATTGGGGAGTTGGGGCGCCGCCTCCTGTCATGCACAGAGTAGGGCAGATAAGGAGGTTGTTATGCCACCCTCAGGGTAGGGCCAATTGGGGGGTTGGGGCACCACCCCCAGTCACACTCAAGGCAGGGTTGATGGGGAGGTTGCGGCGCCACCCCCTGTGACCCACAGAGCAGGGCCAATCGGGGTTGGGGCGCTGCCCCCTGTCATGCTGATCCCGGTACCGGGAGGCCTCGCTGCTCCGCTGATTCTGGTGCTGGGAGGCATATTCCCCTTTTACTATATAGGATAGAGACCTGGTGCGCAGGTGGGGGCTGGCTGGTTTGCCCTGCAGGGTGTCCTGGATCAAGGGGGGGGTCCCCACTGGGGTGCCTGGCCCGCCTGGATGAGTGGATGATGGCTTTTTGCAGCTGGTCACACCCCCTTCAGGCTGGGGGTCCCCACTGTGGTGCCTGGCCAGTCTGGGTGAGGGGCTGAGGGCTGTTTTCAGGCTGGCAGGTGACTGAAGCTCCCAACCGCTCCTTTTTTTCTTTTTTCTTTTTTATTCTGGGCCAGCTTTAGCTTTGAGGCTTGGCTCCAGCTCTTAGGCCTCGGCTGCTGAAAGCAGGGATCTGGTTTGTTTGGGTTCTATAATCGAAACACTGTTTCAACTCCAGCTCTGAGATCCTGGCTCGCTGAAAGCAGGTTTCTGGGGTTTCGTTTAGCTTCTATCTTTGTAACAATGTTTCAAACTGCAAGCTCAGAGGCCGGCAGCGGCAGACGGGGAACATTGGAGTCCTCCGTCACTGAAGCAAGCAAGCCTCATGTTAGTTTCAAGCTGCCTGGCTGCCGGCCACCATCTTGGCTGGCAGTTAATTTGCATATGGCCCTGATTAGCCAATGGGAAGGGTAGCGGAGTGACACCAATTTGCATCTTTCTCTTTTATTAGTGTACATTAGCTTCATGCCCTGCCTCCTAGAGCTACTATAGTAATAGCTCATCTGCTTATTTCTATAGTTTAGCATTTTTTCATTTTGGGCTTCTGGGGTTTACTTTCTTCTGAAGTTAGCCATGTATTTAAAAGTGTACTGTTGCCCAGCTGTGTGACTCAGTGGTTGAGCATTAACCTATGAACCAAGAGGTCACAGTTCAATTCCCGACTGGGGCACATGCCCTGGTTTCGGTCCCTGGTTGGGGCGGACGTGAAAGAGGAGACAGCTGATCACTAATTCTCTATAATCATTGATGTTTCTATCTCTCTCTCCCTCTCTCTTCCTTTCTGAAATCAATAATGAAAATATATATTTTTAAAAGTAAAAAATAAATAAATAAAATGGCCGTTGTTAAAATATAAATAAAGTATTTGTTATATTTGTCATTTTTAAGTTCCATCTCTTTTAAGAACTTTGTTTTGGAAGGTATAGAAAAAGAGTTCAGGGTTCATGATAGCATCAAGACAAGAATTTCAGGTGGAGAATAAGCTAGTTTTTTTCAGATCAGGTGACCCTCTTGGACACACTTTGAGGAAAATGATTTTAACAGCCACAGAGAGAAAGCCAACTTTAATTATGCTAAAAGGCCTGGGATGTGAGGGCAGAGATCAAGACCCAGCTGACCTGTTGACTTGTTATATAACCTTGGGCAAGTCTTTAGGCATTTCTGGGCCTTAGTGTTAAGCGGATTGGGTTAGGTTTCCCCTGGGGTTCCTGTTTTAATTTCAATGGTTTAACCTCTTTCTAACTTCAGGCCTGGGCCAGCAGTCTAAGTTCCTTAGAACCTCTACTCTCTCTCAGGGTGTGCCCCCCCAGTAACCACCCCCCCCACACACGCACACACATTGTGCTCCTCCCTTTCCTTCACTGAATGGTGACCACACTGACCCTCATACCCACCTCTCTGTGAAGAAATGTTCAGCTAACACAGCGGTTCTCAACCTGTGGGTCGTGACCCCTTTGGGGGTCAAACGACCCTTTCACAGGGGTCGCCTAAGACCATCAGAAAACACATATATAATTACATATTGTTTTTGTGATTAATCACTATGCTTCGATTATGTTCAATTTGTAACAATGAAAATACATCCTGCATATCAGATATTTACATTACGATTCATAACAGTAGCAAAATTACAGTTATGAAGTAGCAAGGAAAATAATTTTATGTTTGGGGGTCACCACAACATGAGGAACTGTATTAAATAAAGGGTCGCAGCATTAGGAAGGTTGAGAACCACTGAGCTAACATGTCTGGGTTGGGGGTGAGAGACTTCAAGCATGAGGGATGCTCTGGGAAGGTCTTATCTGTGAGGATCCTGGATGGAAGTGGGTTGGAACTCAGGTCTTCAGACTCCTACCCCTGGGTTCGGGCTGCTGAACTACATTGGTCCTCATGGCTAATAGGGGAGGGAGAAAGGGGTGATCTGTGTGATGGGGAGAGACCCTCCTTTGCAGATGTACTCAGTGGCTGGGGGTTCAGGGAGGGCCATCGGAGGTAAATGGTACCCACCTGGTACTCATAATCTAAAAACTGCCTTAAGATTACTAGTATGTCCTGCTCCTTCCCAAATCCCTGAGAACTATGTCCAGAAATTTATAGCTTGGGCAGTTGGTACCGAGGTCACTGAATTTGTCTTATGCTGATGGCAAGGGCAGGGATGTGTTGTCAGCTTCTGGAGACACCAGCAAGTTAACTTGCCAGAGCCCCAACATGTGAGAATCCACCAGGGCCAAAAGCTTTCTTTAAGAACAGCCAGGCTTGGCTGGTGTGGGTAAGTGGTTAGAATGTTAACTCATGTACTGAAGGGTTGAGGGTTTGATTCCCAGGCAAAAGCATGTACCTGGGTTGCAGGTTCGATCCTCCGGCCCTGTCGGGGCACATGCAGGAGGCAACCAGTTGATGTGTCTTTCTCATATCAATGTTTCTCTATCCTCCTCTCTCCCTCACTCCCTTCCATTTTCTCTAAAAATCAGTGGGAAAAAAATATCCTCTGGTGGGGATTAACCGAAAATAAAAAATAAAAACAGACAAAGCTGGATGTCATAGAGAATGGTGAGCTGCATTTTACTTTATATACTTTTTAAATTAAATTTAAAGTTTTAATTGTGGTAAAACAGGTAACGTTTATCATATTAACCATTTTTAAGTCTATAGCTCAGTGGTGTTAAATGTATATTCACATTGTTGTGCAACAGATCTCCAGAACATTTTTTCTTGTAAAACTGAAACTCTATACTCATGGACACCAACTCTCCTTTCCTCCTCTCCCCAGCCCCTGGCAACCACCATGCTACTTTCTGTCTCTATGGATTTGACTACTCTAGATACTCCATATAAGTGGACGAGTATTTGTCTTTTTGTGGCTGACTTATTTCACTTAGCATGATGGCCTCAAGGCTCATTCTGCATGTGACAGAATTTTCTTCTTTTTTAAGGCTGAATAATATCCCATTGTATGTCTGTATCACATTTTGTTCATCCATTATCCATCTGTGGATACTTGGGTTGCTCCACCTCTTGGGTATTGTGAATAATGCTGCTATAAACATGAGTGTACAAATATCTCTTCAGGACCCTGCTTTCAGTTCTTTCAGATATATATACCTAGAAGAGGGATTGCTGGATCACATGATAGTTCTATTTTTAATTTTTTGAGGACCCTCCATATTGTCTCCCATTTGATATTCCTGTCAGCAGCACACAGTTTGTTTTGTTTTAAAATATATTTTTATTGATTTCAGAGAGAAAGGAAGAGGGGGAGAGAGAGAGATTGAAACATCAATGCTGAGAGAGACTCATTGATTGGTTGCCTCCTGCATCCACTTCCCTTCCCTGAACCGGGAATCAAGCCTGCAACCCAGGCATGTACCCTCACCGGGAATCAAACTGTAACCTCCTGGTTCATAGGTCAACATTCAACCACTGAGCCACACCGGCAGGGCAGCACACAGTGTTTTTCATCCTTTTTGTCCATTATTGATTTAATGCCAGGCCATCCTTGTCTCCTACTTCCCAGCCCTGTCTGGGTTCTTGGAGCTGCGATTAGAGATTGCCAAGGTCATTGTGCTCATTTGACGGGTAGGAAGCTGAGGTCTACAGAGGGGAGGTGATCTGCCCGATCCTAGACCTTGAGTTTTACTCTTTGTCTCCTAGAATCCTGGCCTTTTCCTCCAAGTTCCTGTGTGGTGACTGGCCTGTCAAGGAAGAGCAGCTGGCACTCCCTGGGTACCCCCGTCCCATGGTCCACCTAGTTCTTCCACCAATACTGTGGTTTCTGCCCAAACAGGTCCAACAGGCGCTCCTCCAAGCGGAGCCTTGGAGGGCAAGGCCGGCACCATTACCTCCAACGAGTGGAGCTCTCCTAACTCCCCTGAGGGGAGCAACGTCTCTGGGGGCAGTCAGGCATTGGACAAGCCCATCGACAATGATGCGGAGGGTGTTTGGAGCCCGGACATTGAGCAGAGCTTCCAGGAGGCCCTGGCCATCTACCCACCCTGTGGCCGGCGCAAGATCATTCTGTCGGATGAGGGCAAGATGTACGGTAAGGACCCTGTGGGATGGGGCAGCAGGCCCCTGGCCTCATGGCCCAGCTCTGGAAATAGAATCTAGGCAAGGGGTGAGGCGCAGCAACCTTGGGGTCCCCTCCAATGAGGGAGGGGGATGATCTCTTGGCGCTTCTAACAGGTGGACACTGCTTTCTTCTGAGCTGGGTTCTCAAGGGGTGGGAGGGCATCTGAGGAGAAGCCTTTGAGTGTGTGAGGAGCTGGGGTAATGGGAGACTTGGGAAAGGAGTAAAATACTGGAAACATCCCACAAGCCATCCCTCAGGCAAATGTCTCATCTCCCAGCTCCCCACCTTGGCTGTGAAGGGTGGTCACGGAGGTGGTTCCTGGACTCATTCCCTCCTTCATGAGCCTTCTGTGTTCCAGGTGTGGTGGGCAGATCTAGTCCCTGCTCACAATATGGTGGGTGAGGCGTGGCCACACATGTAGCTGATGACCAGGCAGACGGAGTGGGTCAGGAGGGAATCCAGCAGAGCGCTGCAGACCTTCCTCAGGAAAGGTCCCTTCCGCTGGGAGGCATCTAGGAAGGCTCTGTCTTCCTGAGCACCTGAGGATGTGGAATGTACAGATAAAGAAACCCTGTCCAGCAGCCACGTGGGATTGATTTTGGATGGAAGAAAGGGTATTTGGGAAAGTAAAACAACAACTGAGCAGCTGTTGGAAGGCCCAAGTCAGGCTTTCATTTTCATTGGAAAGCTCCCAGAGCCCTCAGCTTGAAGCACTGGAGCTGAGAGGGTCTCTGGAACTGGCCAAAGCCCCTGAGAACAGAGGGCTCCACCCTGGCTTCCAACAAGCTGGCTCTAGTCCAGGAGCTCACCCTGGGGGTTTCCACGCAAGTTCTCCCTTCTCAGCACAGATCCCCCGTGGGGCTGCTGTGTTGTCTCCTAGGGGTGCTGTAAGAAATTACCACAAATGAGTGGCTTAAAACAACAGTTCAGGAGGCCAGACCTGTGAAATCCAGGTGTCCTTGGGCGGGTTCCTTTTGAGGGTCTGAGGGAGAATGTGCTCCAGGCCTCTCTCCTGGCTTCTGGTGCTTGCTGGCAATCCTTGCTGTTCCGTGGCTGTTAGCTGCATCACTCCCACCTCTGACTCGGTTGTCACATGGCCGTGCTCCTTCTGTGTCTGTCTCTGTATCTTCTCATATCCTTATTAGGGCACGAGTCCTTGGACCGGGGCCCACCCTAATCCAGTATGACTTCATCTTAACTAATTACATCTGTAAAGACCCTATTTTCTAATAAGGTCACATTCTGAGGTTCTCAGTGGACAAGAATTTTGGGGGGACACTATTCAACTTAATTCAACTGACTAAACTCAAATCTGGTTGTTTACTGGCCCAGGGAGTCATGGAGCTCTCACAGCCCCTTCTACTCTATGCTTTAACCTTCCCTACAAGGCCAAATTGAGGTCTTCTCTTTCTTTTGCTTGTTGGGAAGCAAGTTCCTTTTGAGCTAGACTCTAGGTCTGCTCTGCAGTCACCAGTAAACTGCTCATGTCTTCTTTTTAATATATTTTTTAATTTATTTCAGAGAATAATGGAGAGGGAGAGAGAGAGATAGAAACATCAATGACAAGAGACAATCATTGATTGGCTGCCTCCTGCATGCCCCCCACCAGGGTCAGAGCCCACAGCCTGGGCATGTGCCCTTGACCGGAATCGAACCCGGGACCCTTCAGTCCGCAGGCCGACGCTTTATCCACTGAGCCAATCCAGTTAGGGCTACTCATCTCTTCTTACCAGCCCATCATATGGCTATGCTTGGTTCCCACAGTCTCTCTTACTTTTGTGGGCTCCTTTGCCCTGGGTCAGCCCCCTGTACCACTCCTACTCTAACCATTTCCTTTTTTTTTTTTGCTAGATATGAGTTTGTTGTTGCTCATAGGTGAGAACAAAATATCTTTTAATAATAACAAGATATTACAAAGAAAATTAAAAAGTATTTTAAACTTTCATTAAAACTTCTTTATGCTATCATGTCATTATTTTTTTTTAATTTTATTTTTTATTACAAAGGGTATTACATATGTGTCCATTTTCCCCCCCGCCCAAGACAGTCCCCTAGCCTCCCCTATCCCCCAGTGTCTTATGTCCATTGGTTATGCTTATATGCATGCATACAAGTCCTTTGGTTGATCTCTTACCCCCCTACCTCCCCGC